GCCCTCCTGCCTTCCAGCAGATCTACAGTCCCCCTAACTTTGTGTCTCCTGCAAACCTGCTGCTGATGCACTCAATTCCCTCATCCAAATCATCAGCAAAGATATTAAAGGAACTGGGCCCAACACATATTTCATATACATATACATGCTCATATTTATTTCCCTCTGGGGCATTCATACCTACATCTCTAAAGTATCTCAGATATCAAACCTAAAATGTATAACAAATGCTAATTGAAGATAACTTGCAAAATAGTAAGGACTACTAGTTCATGGTGGACATTGTGGTGGGAGAAAGGAGCAACAACAACTAATTTTAATTATCTATTAATTTTTTATACAGGTATTTTGAAAAATACAAAAGCTACACAAAAACCAAAGATAAGGTGTGTGATAATCTTAAGAAACTAGAAAAGATGCTTAGACAGTCTTTGTCTAAGATTCCAATGTCTTATAAGGAAGCTTTGGAGCACTTGGAAGAAAGCAAGGTAAGAGAGGCCCTAAAGAACATGAAAAGCTCATGCAAAACTGTAATGCATCTGTGCACACCATATGATATCACAGTAAAAAGAAATTAAATTCTTTAGCCTATATTTATGTATATACAAAACCACAGAATATATCTATGTAGCTATAAAAAGACTGGATAGTAATAGGCCATGTGAAATGAGTACATCTTACTGCTGTAGAGATGAAACATTATCTGTGCTTAAGCTAGTGTTGCACTTCTGTTCAGATCCCTCGTTGCTTCTTTGCAGGACCAGGACTGATCAGATCTCTAACACTGCAGTTGTTTTCCCTCAGAGAATTTCCAGTTTCCCACCCGGGATGGTCTCACTGCCTCCCCTCCAGACCTGTGCTATAAGCAAAATCTTCACTGTCTTCTGTTTTAGTACTCATCATATCATAGGCTTCTTATTTTATAGATCTGTAACTTATGTGCATTTCTCTCGTTATTTGGAAGGGAAGAAAGAAGTAAGAACAAGCTAGTTGCCTGGGCACACTGTTCTCTTTGTCTGTTGGTTTCATACTCCATCTTTCTCTGCAGTCTTAGCCAGCAGAATTCTCTCATTACAACAGTGTTTAACCTGCTCAGTGGAGTGATTGCCATTTTGTTAGAGGCTCCTGATCATGTTACTGACTGCTTCATTAACACTTCTGACTGTAGTGTTTTATTTATTTCCTTGTTTATGTTTCCTGTAAGGTTTTGGTCTCTAGCATTGACTCGGCTGAAGATGATCTGGTGAAGCTGAGGCAGGACTTTGGAGAGCTGATGAGATTAGGCAGAGGAAGTGACAGGGCCCTGGGCAGGGTTGTAGCAGTGCTGTGGGAAAACTGGCTGGGTTTGCTTGAGGCAGCCAAAGGCCTGGAAATTACCTGCGAAGAACTGAAGCCGGAATGGAAATTCATCAATGAAGAGGTGAGTGACTGAACATCTGTAAGTTTGGGGAAATGTGGGGATGGAGACGTCAGTAAAGTGGCCTGTAAAGGGCTGAGGGCAGAACAGTAATCCCACCCATTGGTCAGCCATTTTTCCCCACCTTTTCTTGAACCTGGAGTGTGAGGATACTTAGAATATGAGTGCTCTGAACCCAGAACAACTCTGCAGGGGGTTATGTGCTTTGTAAGGGAAATCTCAAATGTTTTGGCACACTTCAGAGGTTCAAGCTCTGCCTATGTAATTCCCAGTACTTAGTCACATGTATGAGTAAATGAGCAGTGTAACTTAAGGGGATGGAATAAAGCAACTCTTTATCTCATGCTTTGACATGGTGTTTGCTTAGCTGGAACGCGAAACAATAATTCTCGACAAACTCCAGGAAGAACAGCCAGAAAGCCTTAAAGAGAAAGAAAAGGCCACCAGACAGGAACTGGTAGAATTACTAGATTTTGTGAAGTCCTTTGAAGAAAACATCAGCCAGCAGCAGCTCCTCTTACTCTTGCTTCTTCACCGAATAAGAAGCATCCTGAACACGTCTGAAAATACGGAGGCAGAAGCTGCCCCTCCTGCCTTATGTGAGATAAAGGCAATGCAGGATCGCTGTAAAAAGTAAGTGGTGTGAAATTTCTGTTGAAGATGTGATGCAGAACTACTTCTGCAGTGTTTTACTGGGTGTTAAAGAATATATGAAAGCTGTAATGCACTAAAAAAAGATAGTGAATGCTCTCCTAGATCAGACCAATGCTCCATCTAACCCGTCTGCTGTCTCCAGCGTGAGCATTAGGAAATGCTATTTAGGGAGCACACCTGAACCTGCCATGCTGTGTGTGGGCTGCGGTTTGTGTTCAAATGCAGTAGGAATCAGAAGGAATGATAGTCAATTTTGGAGGCTCCAAGGTCTTGTGAAATTGTTCGAGATGTGTGGGTCTTCCACTCTTAGGAAAGCCCAACCTTGCGCCTTTTGCAACAATGCAACTTTTGTCTTACTAAGTAAGTGCCACTGTCTGAAATTTACCCCTAATATTTTTTTACAAATCTCTGATTGTACTCACCCGTCTCCATCACTGCTTTTGGACATGAGAAACTTTGTGAACATCTCTATGAAGGTGCTCTGCCAGCATCTTCAAACTTGAAGAACCTAAGCTGTTTGCTGTCTAAATTTTGGCCTACCAAATGTACCTTGTTTAGCAGTATCTGAAGACTCACTTTGAAGAAACTGAGACAATAAATGGCATAAACTCAGAGATCTAATTACATAAAATAGTACTAAAGTTCAGACAAATGTGGTTCTGGATATATATTTATAAAACGTCTGTATTAAACATGTTCTTTGACTGCTCCTACTTAGAGTCTGACACTCGCTCTATTCTGGCTGTCAATCTTTCACAGGTTGTACGACAAGGCCCAAGACCATAAGGATTCTGTGAAAGCTGAGATTCAAGAGAGGAACAAGGTCACTGAAGAAATAAATGCTGTGGCAAATGCATTACAGAATGCTGCGTCTGTGTTATTGCAAGATGCTGCTGGAAGGGCAGAACAGCTGGAGGTTGGTGATGGCTCTGGTACTGTGTGGGGGCATTCAGAAGATCTGCTGGGTTTTGCTGGTGCTTGAACTTGCTCCAGGCAAATTTAGTGGCAAGGAATATGCATGCTGACCTAAAGAGAATGGATAT